AGCTGTCATGAGCTGTGCTCTTACAGAATCATCCCATAGATTTCAGCTGAGTTTCACTTTGAGTTTCATGTCTCGTTATCATATTTGTGATATAGGAAATGTATGCTTACCTAGATCTCGATCTATGCCTGCCACTGCACAGCTGAAAGTCAGGAAGATGTTTACCAGTTGATTGAATTGTTGGGGTTTTGTTTGTGCAGTCTCTGGAAGTAGATGTATTTTGTTTCAACGAGCCTGTCTCGGTTATTGCACAGTCAGTCTTCAGGATGGCTTGTAAACTCCATGCGATTGCTTTCTGTCATTTTAGATGCTTCTCGAATCTCGTTTCTGGTGACCGCCTGTATCTTCTCCGGATTCACTAACTCCATTTGCAACGCAGTAAATTACGGAAATCGTGATCACAGTTACTGTGTTGTTTTTCCCTGTCCCTGACTTTATTCCCCATTTCCATCTGCTGCTGTTATGTTAGCAGTTTGTTGTTAGCATGAACAGCTGGTGGCACTGATTCTGCAGTTCGTGCCCAAAAGAACCCAGTGCAGGAGAAGAGGACACGAAGAGTGCTGGTTGAAGCTTAAACAGTGCAAAGAATACAGAGTGATTAAAACATCACTGAGTCATTTCAGTTAATGCATGCTCTCCAGTGGACTGTGTGTAAACGATAGACTTCTAAGGTCTTCCAGGTGTTTTATCTGCATTCCTCCTGATGACCAGATGCTTCTGTGAGCCAGCAGCTCAGGGGGAAGATGACCTTCAGCTTCTTTGCTCTGTGGCCTCAGAAACACAGCTTTTCTGACAGGTTTATGGCCTCAGCTACTACCTTTGAGTGTTATTGAAAATAGCATGTCCATTTAGTAAATGATGTCCAGAAGGATGATAAAGCTGGTTATGCTTTAGGGCAGGGCTACATTGAGCATACAATGTCCTTCAGATTCATCCCTTGCTTGTCATTTTCTGATTATTGTAAGAAGGTGACTGTAACAATGAGGCTTTAGGACAGAACTTTACTAATCGAATGGCGATGTCACAGTAGCTTTAGCCATCGTTTATATTATTAAGTTGACTGGTTTTCTTTTTCTAGTTCAAATGTAGTTGCAGGTAATCTACTTATCAGACGGTTGCTGGTTTGTTTCCTGCCTGCTCCAGTCTACATGCCACACATCCTTGGGCAAGATACCAACACCAAGTTGCTCTCCAGTGCATCCTTTGGAGTATGAATATGTGTGAATGTTAGATAGAAAGCACTTACCCATAGGAAGTAGTGCTTGTATGAATGACTCAGTGAGTGTGCTGCAAAGTGCTTTGAGTGCTCAGACAGAAAAGAAAAGCTCTTTATAAGAAACAGTCCATGTACCGTTTAATTAAAGAAGAAGAAAGAGTCGGAAAATATGAACCTGTCTTATTGTTTGAACAGGCCGTGCACCGTGTGAATGACTTGTGTTAGTCTCTTGTGCCAGTGATTGAATCCCTGAAGCACTCGGGTCAGTCCTAATAATGTTTGGGATCAGCATGTTGGCAGCTCTCGGCTTACTGCATCCCTCTGATCTCACCTGCTGTGTGTGTGTGTTTAAGTCTTGTTCAATCCCCGGAGACTCCAGATGATATTGTGCTTGACCACACACACACACACACACACACACACACACACACACACACACACACACACACACACAACAGCCAGCGTCTGACTTCACTTATCCTGGAGATATAACCCCACACTGCTGGAGGTCTGTCTTCATTCCTGTCGGCACTCCAGATCAGGCAGTAATCCCAGATGTACCAGTGTGGGCAGAAAATAAAAGGGGACTTCTTTATATACTCAAGTGCTCAAAACTCTTTACATAACATGCCTCATTGACCCATTCACACACATTTTCAGCACTATTTTTCTGCACTTACTTTCTGTCTAATGTGCGCACACGCTCACACTCCAATGAACACAACTCGGGGTTCAGAAGGTTCTGTGAAGGTTTCAAGAACTATCGCTCAATACCACTTTCAAAAATTCAAGTCTGGCTCCTAAGAAGCAAAACATGTAAGAGGGAGCGGCTCAAGAGTTCAGCAGCTTGGAGAGAGCACAGAAAGCATGCTAAAGCTTCAGTGGCCATGTTCTCAGGTGACATTAATGAGCAGGTGATGTTAGCGATCACCACTGATGTTGGCCATTTTAATCAGAGGAAGGAAGAGTGAGCAGCGTGTTTTCACTATTAGTTCTTGGGAGCTGGAGCGAAAATAAACCCAGATGTCAGACGAACCGGTCCTTACACATCGATATCCGCCTCTCTCTGCAGGTTTGGATCCCTCTCCTTCCACCTCAACAGGATCAGTCGCAGAAAAGAAACCTTCCACTAAAAAACCTGCAGCTCCTCCTCTTTCTTCCTCCTCCTATTCTTCAACGAGGCGGCTGAAGCAGCTTGCAGAAGAGGTTCAGGATCCAACCTCTGTTGTCGCCACACTGCACCTCCTTAGAGAGAAGATGCCGCCGCCCATAGAATCCAGGTGAAGTCTGCAGGTCTGCTTTCTTTAAACCCCCAGCAACCATCTCCCACCCCCTCCTCTTCTCACTACATTATAGTCATATAGTAACACTGCCGTGTTATGTCTCAGTGACGCCAACTGTTGTAAATATAAAGGAGAGACTAGAACAGTGTGAAGTCTGAGGAACTTGGAAAGGTTTTTAATGGTTCTCCAAATGTGTTCCATTTAGCAGCAGCTCCGCGGAGCCCAGTTCATCTCAGTCCAGTTCAAAGCAGACCAGTGTCAACGCTCCAGTGGTTCCATTTGGTTTGGACCTGTTCTACTGGGGTCAGGAGCAGCCCAGCGCTGGCAGGATCATTAAGTATGCACCAGACAAGCACTGTCCCTAGTTTACTGATCTGTGTGTTGTGTCACAGATGATACAGTAAAAAGGATCATTTTAATGTGATATTAAAGCTACAGAGCGTTTACTCTTCTTTAACATTCATTTAACATGTGTCACATTCTTTCCGCTGCAGGTCAGCCTCTCAGCACCAGTTCTGGGTTCCAGCAGAGGTGGAGGAGGAGGTGGAGAATGAAGAGCTGCTGGCAGAGAGCAGGAGCAGATACATCTCCTTCCCTGGGAGCTTCGTTCCTGTCAGCCATTTCTGCAGAGCTCCACTGGGTGATGGCAAGCTCTGTCAGCGGCAGGACCGCTTCAAGGTAACAGGATAAACTTGGAGTCTGTCATAAAGTGAGAAGCTGTTGGTCTCCCTCTGGCTCACCAAACTGAGCGAGGCCTGTGTCTCCTCAGTGTCCTTTCCATGGCCCCATCGTTCCACGAGACCAGGAGGGTCGACCCTGCCGGCAGGAGGACCGAGAGAGGGAGGAGCAGGAAGAAAGGAGGAAGAGAGAGCAGCAGCCTGGTGAGAAGTGAAAAATACAAACACATTTGAATCACACAGAAGAAATGTCATCAGAGGGATCAATTTTAACAATAGCATCAAAGGTTTGTAAGGGAAGGGCACACAGAGTCTTTGTGACTCTAGACGAAGGAGGAGGAAGTCAGGAGTGGCAGAGAAATATGCGAGCGGTTCTGGGTGGATCTGGGATTACATCAGGGCTGACCTCTGAGCCTGTGGTTGTGGACAGGGTGACAGAGGCTATGGAGATGCTCGAAGTGAGTGTAGGGAGTCAAGCCTTGAGGGGGAGGTATGTTCTGGAGTAGAGAGGATGGAAAGTCTGTAGAAATGAGAAACATGCACGAATGAGACGGAGGCAGGTGTCAAGGGTGATGTGTGACCGAGGTGGCAGTGAGAGCTCTATGAGGTATGCAGGCTGTGGCACTGACACAAGGACAGGACCTGGAGTTGGAGGTGGAAGAGTTAAAATGCTCAGCTTTCTTTGAGAGTAACCAAGAGCGACAGAATTAGAAATGAGCGTATGTGAGGGACGGCTCAGGTCGTGTGGCTGCGTCTCCAGTCTGCAGGATGTCCAGCAGCTGCCTGCAGTGTCTTAACCAGCTGCTGTGTGTGTGTGTGTGTGTGTGTGTGTGTGTGTGTGTAGCTGTAGCTTGCAGTCCAGTGAGTTGTGAAATAGCATCTTTTGTTACCAACTACAGTATCGATCCAAGAGTCTTAGACGCACATACACACACATCAGCTTCACAGTAGGGGGGCGCTGGCCTGAATAACTTGATGAACTGTTGGCCTCAGCTGCTTTTACCTCTTCAAACATCCACAGGCACATACAGTGAGCCTAAACGGCCAGTAACACACACACTTCCTACAGTAGCAGCTACGCTCAAACATAATTGTTTTTACTGAATTATTGCCTTATATCCATGCCAAGGGTTGCCCGTAGTAACCACCCCGTAGACCGCTCCAAGGAAGCTAATATCAGACTCTGACTGTAAGTGTATTTGTAACAGTACAGTTGTGTTACCAAAAAGTTCTGTCAGCCAGAGAATAAAAATCAAAAGCTTCACTTGATGTAACCATAAAATTCCATCAGTACAATCTGTCAGCAGTCTGGATCCTCTCTGAATGCTTTTAGATAAGAAGTACTTTAGCTGTTAGTGTCATTTGCCGTCCAAGAGCACTGTCATCATGGAAGTCTTCTTTGAGTTACTGTCAGTCATGTAGCAGCAGTGCCTTTGTTTTACAGCTATATTAATCCTGCAGTGTCCACAAAGCAATAGCTGAACCTTCCTGCTTAATTGCTTCCAGATGACCACAAGTCAACAAAGTACAACAGGGTGAGCTGGCTGATGTGAAGCCGGTCGGGATTAGCGTCAGTCTTCCTGGTCGGCTTCCTTATACTGAAGTCAGTAGGGCAGCGAAGGATTTCTTAATGGAGTTTGATGAAGCCGGTGACTGACAGATGAGAAGCAGCAGGTGGTGAGGAAGCACACAGCCGGCCAAAGAAACGATGTCTAACTTATCAGAAAGTAGAAGCAATTTATTATCCATATTATTATTTAGGGTGTGAACTAGAAATTGAAAACTATAGACAGACACACCCACAACACAAAAGGCAATTAGGAAATGGAGGAAATCAAAGATTATAAATATTCGTGTTTTAATTGAATCCATTTGCTGTCAAGTTTCCGGATTAAAAGCTAAATTGAACACAGATCCCTATAAGCTACAGCCTGTAAATCATAGTGAAGCTTATTTTTCAGTCTTCTGGTGAATACTGCAGGCATCTGTTGCTATGGTCACTCAGTTCTATTTACAACTGTTAGTGAAATTTACTGCTACTATGTAGCCACAAACGTTTTCATAGGACTCTGTGCAGCCCTTTGAAGTAAGTACTACTTTACTGCTTCCATAGGAGTTTAGTAGCAACCCGATGCTCTTAATCAAGTGCACTTGATTAACTGTTCATCAGCATGTGGAAAAAAGCAGAATTAGTGGAGCATCCAGGGCGAAAGACATCAGCAACTGTTGCTGCCCATCAGTATTAGAGAGGTTACGAAGTCATTACCAGATGATATGAAGTTTATTAAGATTATTCACAAGTGCAAACAGTCAAGACAGTCCCCATCTTTCCAGGAGGACACATCCCAGCATATTCGCCCTGCCATGGGTGAATGTGCTGGGATGCTCCCATGCTCAGAGAAGCAAAACAACAAAAGCCAGTTACATCTTAGTCTCTGCACGACTCAGACTGTCAGATGTTCGAGTTTATGACAGTAGAGGAACTAACAGCCAGGGTTTGGAAGGGTCACCAGAAGACAGCCGCACAAGACGAGCTTCATTCACTAATGTTTGCATGGAATCATTCTTATTCTGCGCAGAAAGTTGGTTCCCACGCGACGTTTATGAGAAGTGCGTACCAGCCTATTTTGTTCTTATTAGCAAGTCGGACTCGTTCGGAAACAACAGCCTTGTGCGATCTCTACTACGATCTGCATACTGCCCTGCCCCCGTTTTTCAATCTAAGGAAACATGTTTCTCTCCAGGTGAAGCGGTGAAAGCGGAGGTGGCGATGTGTCTTTAGAGGAGCCTGCACCTCTAGGCAAGAAATAAGGAGGAAGTCTGCCTCTTATATTGTGCTTTTCTTCTCTCCCAGAGTACTCAAAGCACTCTATACAACACATTCACTCAGTCACTTTTCTTCTACGTTTTCAGTGCTTCCTCACGAACATTCATCCATCGAAGCGCAACTTGGGGTTAGTATATTGCCTAAGGATAAACTGGAGGAGCCAGGAATCGAACCACTAACCTTCCGATCAGTAGATGGCCTGCTGTACCGCCTGAGCTACAGCCACCCCAACTAGAAAGTTAAATAGTGTCTGAGGTGAAAGGCGGGAGCCTGCAGAGGCGCACTCAGGAGTGGTGACCCTTTAAAAATAAACGAATGAATAAAAAGGGACACAAGAAAAAGTAGAATACATCTGCCAAAATCCAGATCTTCCAGCATTCATGGGACAAACAAAACAACAGTCATCGTTGCCATGGAAGCGGTGTGGGAAGCTGCACCTCTCCCAGCTTCCTTCCTTGACCTCAAATGTTTTTTAGTTTCTCACATTCAAGGTGCAGGCTTCTCTCTTACAACATCACCTGGATAACATAGAGAACTGTGGGCGGGGCACAAGTTCTGTTGGCGCAGAGCTCAGAACAGAGGCAGGTAAAGTCACACAGAAGACAGACCTTTCAAGGTAATGCTGCTGAAGGTGGTTCTACAACTTACTGACCAATGGGGTGTGCTTTGATTTTCACCTGCACAGAGACACAGAGGTCTGTGCAAAGGTCCTTTTTCTCATGACTGTGTTACTCTTTCTTTTTTTTAGCTCTGCTCTGTCTTATAATAAGAATTGTATGTTGCGTTATGCGTCTGACTCAGACACACACACACACACACACACACACACACACACACACACACACACACACACACACACACCAAAAAATAAGAAGTCCATTCAGGTGATTGACAGGAGGAGGGAAATGGATGCTGTGCTACTCTGTCACATATATGCAGGCTCCTTGTGTTAAGTGATGCGTAACCGAGCTACATTTGAACCAACCAAAGACCCCAGGCGCACACACCTCTGCCCCCTGCTCTAACACACACACACACACACACACACACACACACACACACACACACACACACACACACACACACACACACACACACACAGAGACCCCAGCTGGACGGACTAAGAGGTGTTGACGGAGAAAAGAGCCCTGCTGCAACACTGATTAAATTCCCACTGTTATTCGCGCTTGCCTGTCTTTCTTCTCCTCTCGTGCTTTTCTTTCGATTCTTCTTTCATCTCTTCTCTTTTTATTTTCTCTGAAACTTTCAACAACAAAGTGACACACACTCTGAACACGCACGAATGTAAATGCAGCTGCTCCTCTTATAGCAGTAATGAGTCCTCTAAATACACCAGCTGCTTTTCAATTACTGCTCCAGTGTGTGTGAGAGCGTGATGAGGGATAGTTGAAGGTCCAGTCAGACCCGGGTCAGAGCAGCTGATTAATAACCCTGCATGCACGCTCGCTCTGAGCTGGGGTCAGTGTTTTGACGGAGTGTGTGGCTTCAGTCCCATCACAATCACGGTGTAATTACTTTGCATTACCGCAGGTTTATCTGGAATTCCTTCGCAGTACATCATTAACTAGAAACGTCTCTTCGTTTAGATCGTCATTGCTCTGCATTACTGCTGCTTTTACTTTATCAGCCAGAATTATGACGTTACAGTTTTCATTAACACCAAAATTGCATCCGAATGAGCTGCAGGACACACGGTTTACGACCCGTGCTCTGTAAGGCCCGCCGCTGTGAGCTCATTTACATTATCACTTCTAATTACTTCATTACACTTCTCAGTCAAATTGGTTTTTGTTCAAGTTTTAGGCTTTCATAGCAGCTCATACAGGAAGTAACCTCACACGCACCAGGCCTTTGTGGCTGAAACACACAAAGTACGCGTGCAGAGAGAAGTTTAATATCCTCATTTTTAAATGTTTGTTTGTTTGTTTGTTTGTTTTAGTCCAGTTTGAAGCTTCAGTCCCAGTCTTAACCTTAGTCCATAGGCTGTATAGAAAAGCTGGACAATAAGTGAAACCTGGATTCTTTTAAATCATTAATAGTGTGTAGAAGTCTGAGAAAATTCCCCTCAGCTGCCTTGGTCTATGATCTCAGAGAACATTTTCCTAATGGCCATATTGGATTAAACAACATAAAGTCCTGTTTGTAAATCCTGGCAGGGATCCTGGGGCAGGACGTCAGTCCAGGCTGACGTGAAGTGGTCCGATGGTGAACGGGTATTTCTTTTAATCCCGTGGCCGTGCTGCTACAGGACGTTCACTGCTGTCAAAGCCACAGGTGTTGCTGCACAGAACAAATCTCAGCTGAAATGAAAAAAGTTTTCATAGTTTTCTCAGGACCTCTGATCTTGTCCCACTGTTGCGGCAGCTCTCTCTGTTCCACCTGGCAGATCTTTGCACCGCACTGCTGGATTATATAGACAAAGGTACCGGGCCACGCCTCTTCATCTCTCTGAATGAGGTGAGATGAAGAGCGGGAGAATCCTAAACGTCCTCCAGGAGCAGAGTAACATTGGTCTCTCTGTTGCAGATTGGCGAGATGCAGAATTGATGCGAGACATTGAGGCAGCAACAGGAGAGGACCTGGGTTCTGAGCGGCTGGGCGGTAAAAAAGGGAAAGGAAAGAAGAAGAAATACCCCCACCTCAGCGACCTGAAGCAGAGCAGCAACACGTCCCGCTGCAGACTAGAGAAGAAAGTCTTTAACAAGTACGGATGCTAACTTCAGCTTCTAGATGATTCTCTGAGTGTAGGAGCTAAGTGCTTGGTGAAACTGGAAACGACAAAACAGAGTTAATAAAGTTAGCCACTGAACACAGGCCTCAAAAAGGCACCTCACTGCTAAACTGTCATCTATGGGTAGGCTAGCTAAGACCCAATTAATCAGTGTATTTTAGGCACTTACTAGCATCATATCACAAGAAACACATCATTTGTTTTCTTTCATCAAATCTACAAAACAAATCCACAGATGACACTGATAGAAAGGAAATTCTATTTTTGCACCATCGAGTTGATTCTCAAAGTGCTCTTAGTCCAAGGCCTAGACCAAGTCCATAAAATAACTAATGATTCATTACTTTTTAAACTGTGGAGGCAAGTATCACAGCCTGAGAGTAGAAATATGCAGCTAGAGATGAGCAGAATGGGTTTTAGCTCCTGGGCTTAAAGTTGTTGTTTCTTTGGATTTTTCCCATCAATCCTTCTCATTTCCTCCCTGCTCTGTTCTCCCTCCCTTCAGGAGTTCCCTGAGACGAGTGGCTCAGGTGATGAATAAGGCCGACAAGAGAAAACACGACAAGTTCTCCAACCAGTTCAACTATGCTCTCAACTAAGCTCGTGTGCCTTTAACTGAAGTCAGACGGGTGGAGCGTTGCTCTCAGTAACCTTTCAGCCCCCGTTACAGGACCGCTCCTGCGTTTATCGTTTTATCTTTTATGTCTCCACCTCTTGTAGAGATTCAGGGAAACAAGGAGCTAAAGAATGCATTGTCACATTTCAAATTGGAACTTTTTGCATTTGTAGTTGAGCTTATGAGGCGGACTCTGTAGGAACAGTGAAGGAGGCGGAAGCTGGAAGACTGAATCGCCAAACCTGATCCACAGTTTTGTACAATAAAGGTGAAATGTTAAGGGTCCAGAGATGTTGTTTCTTTGTAATGAAAGAAGAAGTGTTTCAATAATTTCTGGGAAATATGGTGATAAAGGATTCTGTGTGTTCTACCTCAAAGCTGATGCTCGATACCGGACATGAAAGTTGTTTCATATGATATCACTTCTGTGACAGCTGATTGCTAAAGCTAGTGATCAGCTGACTTTTACGCTTTCTATGTTCTTATTACGTCGGTGTTTTGTGCGACTGACAGGTTTCAAATGTGTTTTAGTGAGAATAAAATTGTAAACCTGCATCTTGTTACATTTTTGCCTTTTTGCTGTCCTTTCAAACGAGATTCATTGAACACAACAACACTGACTGTGGGAAAGTTCTCCTGTGAAGCTATTTTAGGAATCAGTGGCAACTAAGGGGAGTAAATAAATATATATTTGCAACACTATATTGAAAAGACAGGTGATATTTGGTTTACATTGCAGTGACATCACGAGAACAGCAGACATCCTGCAGCTTAAGAAAAATGATTTGCATCTTTTCTCTGTGATTCTCTGCACTTAATGAAGAGCTCACAGCTCAGTTATGCATTTCCATCAAATTACACGTCTTACAGAGAATGTTTTTTCACAAATGGTTGAAACTAAATAATTTAGCTTCAGTAACACAAGATCCTACATTTCTCATAGCACAACTAATGATGCCTGGTAGGGGCAACGTGGCGTTGTTGGCACTGTTGTGTCACAGAAGGTTCTGGGGTCACATTGTCAGCGTGTCTGTGTGGAGAACCCCATGTCTGCATGGGTTCTCTCTGGCTTCCTCCCACAGTCCAAAGACTTACATGGGGTCAGTTTAATAGGCTGTAAGTGTGAGTGTTCTGTGTTTGCCTCTGGCCCTATGACAGCTGGGATAGGCTGCAGCCCCCATTAAACCTGTACTGGATAAGCAGGAGAGGATGGATGAATGGTTGGAACTTGTACTCCGCTGACTTCTGATTGTGGATTTTGTAGGGTTGGTCCTGGCCTCCCATGGGACACCTTAAAGCCTCAGCTCATCCATGATTTGCTCTGCCTCTCCAGGCTTCACTGCTTGCTGCTGCCTTGATCTGATGCCACGAGGATCCACCAGCACTCCTCCCCAGCAGACATGCTGTTCCTGAAACACTCACACAGACTTTCTTAGCCTGTCCTGCCACCTCACTCCGGACTGTTTCAGCGTCATTAAATCCCTTGGACTTCTATATTATCCATAAAGGCGGCAATTTTGTCTATGCAGAACATGGTTCTTCCTTTGTGCTGTCTAACAGGCACATAGAACGTGTTATTCAGTCGGTACTTTTGCAATGATGACATAACAAATCTAATGATTCTGGGATCCACACCTGTCCAAACATCAGCTATCATTTTATTGCTGGTTATTATTATTATTATTTTATTATTATTATTATTATTATTATTACCATTATTAATAAGAAATGCTAAAACCTGCAGCTCCTCTAGTGGCCACTTGATCCTGGTTAAAAAAATTAGTGAGTCCTCAATGACAGTCATGTTAAAACGTCCAGTTTACAGCAAAAACTACGGAACATGTTTACAGCCTGCTGCATAACAGCGGGTTCCTCCTTCGTGCCAGTTGGAAAGCTTAAATCAGGGGTGTGGCTGCCGTGATTGACAGGTGTGCTGACACAAGGAGCTGTAGCTCTAAAAGTCAGTCACTCCCACACACACTAATTTATCTGTTTTGGGCTTGTTTCATTTATACCAGTTTGTGGGGAAAAAAACTCATAAAATACAAACTGTGATAATATAGCTTCAAGCATTAATTGTGCTGCCAAATGTGTATCAACACTTTTGTTTAAGCTGTGCTGAGATCTGAACCCAAACCTCAACACAGCTTTTTCAAGTTAAACTATTAACTTCAGTTGCTCTAAGCAGTTTCATATGATTGGCTGTAGAATGTTAAGCCACTGGATGAGAGCACAGAGTACCGTCTTCTAACTTGGTATTTTATATGAAGCAATTTAAGTTCAGGATGGGATGTTGTGCTGGTAAACCGTGGGTCTCAGCATGGGAGTCAAAGTGATATGCACTGCACCCGGACACGCTGCACAAATTATTCAGGGATTATATCAACGCACCTTTGAAACACGTGTGGCCTCTTGCAGTGGAGTAACTGCAGAAAGTGATGGAGGCATGCTAGCTGACAGACACTGCATGAATATGCAA